CCCCAAAACCCCAAAACCCCAAAACCCCAAAACCCCAAAACCCCATATCAGAAGAATAAGTAAAATTATATAATAATTTAGTATGGGGAACAAAGCCTGTTTGGGCCCAAGAGAGGAGCACACCTATTATGATCCTGATAACGATTGGAAGCCAAAGCACAACATAGTTATTGAGACTAATAACAAAATCCCAGGTGGAATATAAATAACGATGAAGAATCAGATACAAGATCTCTTGGTAAGAGGAAGAAGACACTGAAAGGTAGCGAAGACTATCAAACAGCTACGCCTGGCCAAACAGCTACACAGACTGCAACTGGGGATGAACTATGGGGGTGGGGCGAGGAGCAGATTGAGCTTCCAAATGGGTAAGATTTATTATCTCCAATCTTTCATATCTGACCTTCAAATAGTGACAAAGTTTATGTGACCCTTAATAACCCTAATGAGCCTGATGGAGGCAAGACCAAAAATATTCATAACATGCCTCTTGACATGGTACTTGAGAGGCATGGCGTTGATCTGTACGTTGAAGAGTATCGCAACCGATTTGGTGATAAGAACAAAGGATTGGAGTTATTCAAGAATTCACTACACTATCAAAGGATCAGTAGCCAGGACAGACCAACTCTTTTTGGTGGAGATCTCTATCATTATGAAGAGCAGAAACTAATAGATCCTGATGAAATTGAAGCTAGTGATATAGAGCCTATTAAATATTACGAGGTCAAGGATATGAAGGAAGATAGCATGATCGAAGCCTCTAGCTCAAAGATTGGCAAAAGTGAAGAAAGCAATTTTGGTAAGTATTCCAGCAAAGAGAAGCAAAGCCTTTGAAAATTTACATATCTTTTATTGTAAATTTTTGTAAAAAATTATCACTGCTCATTCTACCTATTCATAGATGCCAGTAAAGAACTCGAAAAATTGGCCGAAGAAAGCAAAGGTATGTCCTCCATTCAAGAAAACCCGATTTAGAGAAGAGCTTCCAAAAGCACGATATAGACCAAGAAATCCAGAACCTCACAGGAGAAATCGAAGATAGTACACAAATTAAATTACACATAGGCCAAATCCATGAAGAGGGCTATAACGACTTTATCCAGAAACAAGGCAATATTGGGGAATCAGAATCTGCTAGTATCTCAGCAATGAAAAGCAGCAAAGAGTAAGTCAGAATAAGTGACAGTTTAGAAGCCAACAGCAGGAAATTGTAGTTGTAAGTCGAACGAAGTTGGGTTAGGAATAGTAGTATGCGAACTAAGATGGGTGAAACAGAGAAGTCATTATTTTTATGAATTTCCTGAAATGTTTTATTGTAATTAAATTTACAAAGTAATACATTTACAAAAATTATCTTAAAGCTTACACATCCCTAATTTTCTCATAAACCTCTTATATCCTTCTATGCTATTTTCTTCTCATACTCTACACACAAGCCTCTATTGACTTCCAACCCATAACATCCCTAACATATGCCAAATTTCTATACTACCAATTCTCACCTGAACCAAATCCTATAGGAAGAAGGTAAGCTCTAAAATCCTAATTCTAGAACAACCCATAGAGCAAGTTAATCAGCTTGAAGTTGAAGAGGTTGAAGAAGAAATCGAAGACCATGAAGACCACGAAGAAGAAATTGAAGACCACGAAGAATCTCAAAAAGATCCCTCAGATATCGATGAGTCTGATATCATCGTTACCTCTACCAAGAAGCCTGAGGTTGAAGAGCCAGAAGGATCGGAGGGAGAACTTAACGATACTATCCCCATATCGTAACTTTATCATGTAACTTTAGGTATCATGAGAGCGAAGGAATCGAAGATGCTATTCCTAACTTAGATGCTTCCTCAACCATGCTACATAATTATGAAGCATCTTTACCTCATGAGAAGCTTGACAGAGGTCCTGCCTTTGAAGAAAGTACCCCAATAAGAACCAAACATTACCGAGAAGAAAGGAAGGAGAGCGTCTGGTAACCTCTTTATTGTTATTTATAGGGAAAAACTCAAAATTAGTAAAGAAGGATACTATCGTAAAAACGAGAGTTCGAAAGAAAGAAAACCAAGAGATTACTCTGGCCTTCGCCTTAACCCTCAAAACAGAAAGGACAGAATCTCCTACCTCCATCAAAGCAGGGGAAGCTCTTTTGAAAAAAGCCGCGTGAGTCCAATGAACGGTGTCGGAATCGGTGAATCTCCATAAAATCCCCCTAAAAATACCATAAATACTCAATCTTCTCTTCTGAACCAGGGGTTTTGGGGTTTTGGGGTTTTGGGG